TCGAGGGAAAACATTAGAAACAGCAAATTCCTTGCATGCTATCTCCTCTACTCTGCCCACCAATCATGAATTAAAATCTATAATAAAAATTCCGTAGTTTATATATTTTTTTTGTATCGCTGTTTTAATAATCTTAATTTCAAAGCATGAAATTTTATTTTCAAGCACGCGGTTAAATATATAGTAAATGAAATTATTAAATACACATCTAAATCCAGCACTTTGAATTAAATTCCTAGTCACGGCTATAATCAGTGGCAAGTAATATCTGAACTTTTCCCGTGTTAACCCTTGCCTTTATGAACCCGCACTCACCAGCGTGGTGAAGTATGGTCAAACAACCCCCCCGTGACTGACACGGCGTGGGAAGGCCTTCATTCACAGCAGTGGATTGAGAGGAGTCTGTAAATCATTATAGTATATAAAACGCAAGCATTTATAATTGACCAAAAAGCATGTGAATCAATGCGAGTGCGGAGATTACATCCTCGAAATGAGACGTAAGATCCAGGTGGTTTTGAATTTAGAATGGCCAAGGCAGAGGGAGAATTAGTCCACGAAATGTGATCCATTTTGGGGGAATTGGCTTCATGCCCTTGGCCAGTCATCGTGGCTTTTTTACAATATATAAAAAGTGTAGAATCTGCCGTTTCAAAATGCCGAAAATTGCCAGTCTTGAAATGTGCCAGTAGCCATGGTAACCAAGAGCCAATGAGTGAAATGTCCTCCCTTTGTGCTCAGTTGCAACATCCAAGGCAAACGTCTGCCGCGTTCTGCTGTGCTCGTGCGCGATCGGCGAGAGGTCAAGAACATCTCTTGTCTAAATAGAGGAAGAGTATAAGAGCGGAACGACACGGGCCATTACCAAACCCGACTATCATCCTGTCTCTGACGGTAATTGAAGCTTGTAAAGTTTTAGGCCATCAAAAAGAGAATGCGAGCGATGCCCTGTAAATAGAATTAAATCACGGATCAGTTTATTACCACCAATTTTGTGCTGCCTTCAAAACAAGTCTCCAATTAAGCATAACACTGCAACAACTGTGCTCTGCTTTTCACAGGGTAGATGTCACATCACAATTAACCAAGAATGCATTTGCCTTTTCCTTTGCGTATGGACCTCTACTCGCCTAAATACGTCGAACAAATAAATAAAAACCCCTAAAAAATAAGTATTGTTGAGCACAAAAACATCATCGATCTTTCGAAATCATGGGCGCCATATTTCCACCCTCGCACAGATTTTGCCCCACAAGTGGGACTTCTTATACTGTGTCTCGCATGCAAAAAGAATCAATCTTTGGGTTCGCTCCAATCACATGCAAATTGTCTGTCCACGTACTATCGAGTTATCCTCCGCACTGGGGCCACGCGGCGTAGCGCCAGGGAACCTACGTCCGACTGATGTTTAAAGTAATACAATTTCTGTTTATTGTAAAAACATTTTTATATCAAACCACGGGAGGATGTTTCTGCTCCTCCACTGCTCCCTCTGCGGTGTGAAATTCTCCCCACCCCTGCTTGTCTGCCGCCACTGATTCACTCTCCACCACTGATTCACTCTCCCTCTGACTTCGCTCTCTCCCCCGCCGTTGGCTGGTGGCATCCTAAAAAAATAACACTGGCCGTCATGTTTGCCCACCACGTTGCCCTTCCGTCTCCACCCTAAGAATAACCCCTCTTGTTCCCCCCCCTCCCCCAACGCCTCCCCCAGGTCGTGTACATCAGAGATGCCGCCACCTCGACCACCATGTTACGACGTCCGTGGTAAAAAAAAACCCGCGGCATAACCCACCCCGCGATTGAATGGGTCACGGCGTCCGGAGGTGGCCCTTGGTGGCGCACGTGACGTCACCACCACTGCCAATGGCCACCTCAGATGGAGTCGGTGACGTCACGCCACTGGCCCCATCTGCCCAAGTCGTGTTCTCCGTTGTGTTATATGTTTTGTCTGAATGTGCTACTTTATGTTGGTACGCCTGCCCTTGTAGGGCGCCTATGAGAAATATGCAAAGTTATTTACACACACCGTGCGGCTTATCTTATATGTTAGATTTATATAGCAGCGCCGTATTCCGAAGCTGCTTTACAGCAATCGTATTTATTTACAGTAAGATAAGTGATTGAGATAAAGAGTGGGGTTATTAATAGTGGTTGTATAGTCATGGTGATGGTAAGGAGCACAGGCGGCAGAGGTTTAGGAGGGGTTGGGGTGAGGCCTAGTTGTCGCTGAGATGGTGCTAGGAAGTAGGATGGGCTAGGAAGTAGGATGGGCTAGGAGTAGGATGGGCTAGGAGTAGGATGGGCTAGGGGGTAGGATGGGCTAGGAGTAGGATGGGCTAGGTAGTAGGATGGGCTAGGAGTAGGATGGGCTAGGAGTAGGATGGGCTAGGAGTAGGATGGGCTAGGGGGTAGTATGGGCTAGGAGTAGGATGGGCTCGGGGGAAGGATCGGCTTGGCAGAAGACGGTAGCCCAAAAGTCAGACATAGGGTTATTATTTTACTTAAATGTTCAAACTGACTCCCATGAACGTTAATTATCTTTTGAAATGAATGTAAAGATGTGTTTTTATTTAAAAACTGTTTTTTAAAGATTACAGGTGTGATCTTTGAAGATTCATTAGTTATATTTCGTCTCAATCATTCAGGGTTCTCGGTCAAGTTTTGTTAACGACAGATTTGAGAGAACCCAATGGGAGGGAGAAAAATAAATATTAATAAGGACAATAGATAACATATTAACGAAAGGAATAAACACGAAAACTGTGGTAATGCCGAAATAACCCAATGCGTCCTGACTTTTGAGCCCCCTTGTATTATATATTTTTTTCAGTTAATAGTGTACAAACAAAAACATTGTACCACAACACTATCAAGGATAAAAGCCTTTATGCTCAGCCGTTTTGTCAATTCACTGCTGGATGCACGACACCCCCTAACGGTGCGCCCTTTTTAAAAGCAGTCTTAACGTTTGTTTTTTTCATTGTCAAAAAGCCACTCGAGCAAAGGACGGGATGACCGACAATGGGAGAGTGGATTACACTCGCCAGAACATTGCGATCTTTAAATAAATAAATAAACGATTAGACAACCCCGGAGTCGAAGAGAAATTGCTGCCTCTCGCGTGAAGATTCAAGCTTCTGAAGGCGACGGGCTACAAAAAACACATGTTCTGAAGACACAACGTCCTGTTCTTTAGTAGGAGTTACAATACAATTGCGCACCTAGAACTCCTAGCTGTGTGACGTCAAGGGGCATGCAGGAGGATGATCTGCGGGCACGGAACGGCGACTATTTAAAAAAACAAGCACACAGCACGTCATTCAGCATGTGCTTTGTGATTATTTTGCGATTTTTCGCCAGTCAATTTGTAATCTACTGTTGCAAGCTGCGGCAGGCATCGCTTGGCCCCCACACGGATAAGAGGATTTACTAATAAAGGCGAGATGGATCAGCAGCAGTTTTGATCCGTAATTGGTTTCTTTTGGGTTAGCTTTTCGTGCAAAAATGTGTGCCGTAAAACCCTCCTTCACCCAACTGAGCCGATTAATAGAAGCTGTCGCGTGAGTAAAACGTGCCCGAATTCATCACCGTTTCAGCAGCAGCACCACCGGTGGCGTGTGGAGAGAAACCTCACGCAACATTTACGTGGCCACGTCCAGATTTACAAGAGTAGTTTTACTCTATTCACTTGGATAAGGAATAGGGATTTGTATTTATTTGGTGGCTTGAATGTCCCGGCGTTTCAAGAGTGCCTTGCGTCTCATCTCATATCAATCACTCCAATGCCCAGCTGGAGACTTCTTTTTTTAGCTCGGCATTTATGGTTCACTCATGCAGAACGATTCGGCTAATTTTGTGAAATGTCATGATTCGGGCGGTCACAATGCTGATTCAAGGATTGATATTCATTTTTTTGCCATGTTTGTTTTGGCTTTATTTTAATTCTCCGTCTCGTTTGATCCGTCTAATCGTGCAATCGGTCTCGGGGGGGATACTTGTTGTAGAATGCAAAGTACTTTATATTTTAAAGATCAAGGCACAATGTATCGCAAGTAAAATGTTTTTTTTTTACGAATGTGACCGATTGTTTGAGGGTTCAAGTCACACAGCTGAGAGTCTGAGTTACAACCCAGGTAGCCACTTGCGATCTAACGTGGTTAATGACAACAGCATAACCGGCGCTTTTGTAAAGCGTCGTTCACGCAAACAGCATCTCACAAAGCTACGCAGGCAACACACGTGGAGGTGCACATGCATTCCGACGTTTTTAGCCAATCCATTAGTGTTGATACGCGCAAGAGGAAACCAGGGTACCCGGAGTAAACACACACCCACCCACGTGCGAAGGGGTAACACTCTATCCCACGGAGAAGGGAAAGATGATATTAGTCTGCATTTTGCTGCACCGCCTTCTGGTAAACCAGGGTATTGCACAAGGGAATGTTGCAACATCTGTGCAGCGATCCACCAAGCCTCGCTGCTGCCTCCACAGCGCTAGGTCACTACTGGCAGCCCATGTGCAGCAGTGTAGCCACCACCAGCGCCATGCTGTTCCCAAGTAGAGACCAGTTGAGATACTCATTTGAGGCTGAGTCGACCGAGGTGAAGCCCAAGACCGGTTTAGATCATCTTCACTGGTGTTGGTCGTGAGCGGGAATCGAACCTTGGCGGCTGGGTCCTTAACGCAACGCGCTCACCGCTGCTCTACCGCTCCCCAGGAATCAGAATATTTATGCTAGAGGAATGTGACGAGTTATAAAGATCTTTTTCACAAATGTCCAGTAGGATTCAACACAAACAACAGCCACCATTTGTCACTAAGTGGTGGTGACATCACCATGGCACTTGTGCCAGACTAGGTGCACTTTGAGGCCACATGAAGTGTCGTAGGCTTGCTGCTAGCAGGTTCCGGGACAGACCCAGGTGCCATGGGTTGATTGACTGATATGACTGACAGATACACCACTTGTGCCAACAATAGACACACAATCACTCACAGTCGGACGCACAGCTCCAGGTCCTCGTCCTGCTGAGCGACGATGTGCTGCACCTCCTCATAGGTCCTCCCCATCAGCGGCATGCCATTCCACTCCAGCACCTGCATCCCTGCCACAGCCACGGAGCACCTTCGATTAGCATGGTTGGCTACGTACGGTGCGAAAGAAGTTCAACAAAATCTTCAGCGGGACTCGAACCCTGCTCCCCAGAAATCAGAATAGTATTTATTCACAGTTAGCAGCCGTGCATCGATGCATCAATTCGTCGATTAATACCACAGTGTAGGTTCTCACGGTTGTGCGGTATAGCTAACAGGTCGTTCAATAAAAAAAACGCTCTGGAGTGCTCTGCCCAATGAACGCACCCCTGATGTTAGCCTTGGCTGGGAATTGAACTCCGCAGCTTCGTAGCGTGGCACGCCTTCCACTGCACCGCACTGCCACCACTGACCCCACAAAACACCGACACATAATCAAGCTATTGTGTGTTAGTTTTATAAACATGATCGGGTAATCCAGTACACTATGTGCTGAAGATAACATACCTAGAATTACATTTTGTAGTTAACTTTAAAAGCTTAAGGAATTAGTAACCTGGTTACTTTTCTAAAGTAATCCTTCCAGCATTATTCAAAGTTGGAGCGTTCACCTTGTATGATTAAAATTCAGTGCAGTATTCACAACTGGTCGGGACAACTCTGAGAACGTGGAGTCTCGAATTTATCGTGAACACGGTGGGAACGCCATTAAAATATCCAGCGTGTGCTACAACAACATCTTTGCCGTGCCAGCCACTTTGCACATTTTTTCTTTGCAGACTTCTCCAATTATATTCACCGCGTGCGGCAACAACTCTTTGTGCGAGTGTAAAGCACACAGGGACGACTCTATTTTCAGCACACGTATGTATGTATGTATGAATAACCCAACCAATAATAGAGATCCATTGCAATTCATATGCATATATTGACACCCCCCACCCTCTGGTCTTTGCACCGAATTGGCTCACAAGTGAAGACTTCACATTTACGCCTCTATTTAAGACCGAAGCAGGAGGATTTATCCATAACTCTGGCTGTCGCCTGATGATGCTCGTTGTAATTACTGGCGAAACGTCACGGTACTCTAATTGTAAATGTTGTGGGTTTACTCTCCAACACACTGGTGTACTGTACTAGTAACCAATTGGCACGTTTTGTTTACGTGACAAAGGTTACTAATTTGGCTGTGTCGGGTGGTGTCGGGTTTAACTACACATTTATATTTATGCGATCTAACCCCCACAAAAAAACAACCCTCTAATATGGACATGTGTGTATGTTGAACTTCTTTCGCACTGTACGTAGCCAACGGTGCTAATCGGAGGTGCGGCGGAAGGACCGCAAACTAAACACACAAAACACTTGTGCATGTGCATGATGGCCTGTTGTTGTGGTTGTTGTTATTGTGTTTTCTTTCTCGTTATTGTCTCCGCGCTATAGACAGGGCTTGGTGTGGACATAAATGCCATGGCGCTCCAGGAATAATTTCCCGGAGGTTTTATTTTCTTTCAGATGCTACGGTTCGCTCAGATGTATCCGTTTAAAAACTGGGAGAGTTCGTGCGGCTTACGGGGGAGGGGGGTAGAGGGGGCTCACCGGCTCCTGACTCACTGCAGATCAATCGATGTGGATATCGCTCCCCCCCATCTCCCCCGCTGTCTCCTAAACAGTTGGGCCTCCGTGTTGGAAAGGTTAGGGCCCCAGACTACAAAGTTAGCAGAGTAAAAATAAAACAGCTACGCAGTCACAAACTACTAGGCGGTGAAAGGGGTAAAGTCGCAGCCCTGCACTCGCTTGCTCATTTCGCTGCTGACGGAAGGGTCTCCACTACAGGAAGCTCTGGAGAGCCAAAACTAATTTGGCCTACTCTTCCTTTATTGTGACCTCCTTTTCGCGCCTCCGATTAGCAACGGTTGGCAACGTACGGTGTGAAAGAAGCTAAACGTACGTACGTACACACGCTGTGGAGACGTCTTGGAAAGAAGAGTTACCCTCGCCTCCACTCCCCCCTCCCTCCCACCCACCTTATCATCCACTCCTGCTGCTACCGCCACCGGTCATTATCTATCCACAGCTGGATGAAGGCCTCGCCAACACCGCCATCGTCCCGCGTGTTAACGCGATGCCAGAATCCGTCTCGCTCGTGCGAACGAGCGAATCTCGTGGCTCCATCTCAACGACGGCCGCCCTCCTGGCCACTGCGTCTCTCCTCCTGACTGACGCCGCGTCACCAGTTGGTGTCCACGCGCCATCATCCTGGACAAGCCCCACGTGTCTGTTTGTTGCCTCATCTAAATAATAACAATTTGTATGTATTTGTACGACGTCTTCCACTGATGACTCAGGGCGCCTTCTAAGAATAAGGAAAGGCCAGGAGAGAAGGAAAAGCTAAATAAAAATAACGGCCTTAAGAATATCTGGTTTTTAGACGAGACTTAAAAGTATAAATACTCAAAAGTATCCACATTATCGGCTAAATTAATTTCCAGCAAACATGTCTCTCCCTTTCGCACTTCCTGTCTGTCTCTCCCAACATTCATCTCTTCAAGCTGCATTTTATTTGCCAATGCCCACGTTTTCTGACCTAATTGCTACAGCAGGTGATATAACCGGATTAAAAAAGGCTCTGCACATTGATCCAATACTTTTCATTCTCAACATAATCATTAGGGCCGCTGTGGAGAATATAAACGATGCAATAAATAAGCGGACAACGTCCCCTTCACATATCCGTCTCTCGACATAAAAAATAAATATTTCTAACAACCAATCAGCCGCACGGCTTCCTGGGAATGCAAAATGTCAGCAGCATTGATACAAGACGAGTAACACTCTGGATCGGTTTTGACAGTCCTTTCGTTGCTAAGACAGTTTTATGAGACCACTTTATCGTTCACTTCTTTATTACATTTTGATCCCAATCCGTCTTTTAATAGTCACCTTCGGTGTACTCACTCTGTTTGGTCTTCCATTGTCACCCCTACAGGTGCCGTGGATCAGTGCATTATATATATAAAACATGTTTTATGACTGATGGGGGAAGGACGCAACATGAATGCTGCACAACAGACAAGTGCAGCAGTGGGCGCCGTGGGCGGTAGCCGGCAGCGCGGCAAAAACCCAACGTTGCACTGCAGTCCTCCCCACCTTTGCCAACCATGCATCGACCGGCGTGGTGAAGTATGGTCAAATAACTCTCACGGCCCCCCGCACGGTGGCTGGAGTAACCTCGTCCAGCGGTGGACTGTGCACAAACGGGCCGGTCATGGGAGTTGATGGGAAAAAAATAAACATTTCCAGCCGAAAATGTCCAAACAATAGCCGGGTCAGACTGGTCATCGGCGTCATTTTGGTAAGCAGCTGAAATGAACCAAATGTAAATGCGCACGGCGGAAAGGCCACGAGGGACACTTCCAACAGCGGCTCGCGTGCGGCAAAGGGGATAAAATAAGCACACGCGCTTGGTCACATTACAGGAAATGTATAGAAATTGACAGAGCAATATATCCAGTGCTTAAGTATACCAGAATGTCACAGCCTTGATAGAAACCACATTAAATAGTACTCCACAGCACTGGCACCGCAAGCCCGTGGCACACAGATCAAATCGTTGTGCGCCGTCACAGTTGGCGGAGTGAACAGCGCGTTCCTGCACTGTAATTGCATCGGCTCCCCGCGTGCCTGGCCGAATCATAACAGAACATTGCGATTCAAATGTTCTTCGCATTCCTGCTCTGCAGACACAGGAGTACAAGCAAGAATGACGAGTAGCTCTCCCGTTTCGTTGTCAGGTTTGCACGGCGTGTTGTTCGGCACCACGGTCTGACATTTTGCCCTCTGTGTTGGGAGCAACGTAGTTTAGTCCACCAGCTTTTTGATCGGCTTTCTAGACCAATGTTGTCAGGCCACGTTTTGTAAGCAAGCAAACACTAGGCCGGTTGTCTGTATGTTTGTATGTTAATCGGAGGTGCCTGTTGAACAAATATTACCGGGTTACCTCATGTTATGGCCAAGGGCACGCCATATAAAATACGTGTAGCACAATAAGTTTAAAGGAGGATGGCCAGTGCGTAACAGGGTTCTCTATAGCTCCATTTAGTGGATCGTCCTTCTGATAGCAGTGGCACGAGCTGGGCATTGCAGGGCCTGAACTTTTACAATTTACAAAAGATAAAAATAGACGTTTTTCTGGGTGGGTAAAAATGCACCTCCTCTGGGCAAATTAACGAGTTTAAATTGTGTTCTTCTACCGAGGCCACAACGCGAACAATGGGGCACGCGGTCGGCACGTGGCATTGGCGTGTCATTCCTGACAGGGGGGGGGGAGTGGAGGGGGCTCACTGGCTTCCTCACTCACTGCTGAGTGACAGCTTAGTTGGCATGTCGCCACGACACCGGCAACCCAATCAATCCCAGGCCAAGCAGCCACCCCTGCAAATGGCCGGAGAAAGTTTCATGTTGGTTTTTTTGTTTTACCAGGTAAGGCCAACTGAGCTATATAATAGCTCTTTTTCAGAAGTCACCTGGCCACAAATGAGAGCTCAACGAATTGGCTCGTCATGTGGAAATATATAGCAGCCAAATACTCTCAAGACCACAGGGAGAACATGCAAACTCCAAATATACAGGCTTTGTCAGGGTCGAGATCGAATCCATGACCGCTCTTGTATACCAGGCGAGGCAGTTAACATCTCGCCACAGTGGACTGAGACCTCTCCACTTCTCCAAATGGAAGTGCCATTAAAAAAAAATTCTAGCAAAGCCAGGCCCACAATCATCAGCACCGTCTGCTGCAAGGTCAGGCCTCGATACTCTTGAAAACTGGGAAGGTCAACGGACTCTCTGTCAATATTACTCTTGTGGTGGGCTAAAATGTGGGTGCTCGCACCTGGCCAGTCTGGAAGTGTACTCAAGTTACTCACGACTCACTGCAGAGGTCACTGGTTCCATCTCAGTGGGACAAGTTTATTTTAAATCTCCCCTCCTCCGTCTACGCAGCAGTACAACTGGGCACTCACGAGCGTAAGTCGACCGGCAGGCCGTGTGTGGTGGACCTAAGTGTGGGTACTCCGATTGGTAGGCCCACATTCCTGCTGAAGAGGTTCTCTAGAGCTCCGTCTAGTGGAGGATCTTCCATCAGCAGTGGCACAAGTAAATTGTCGCAGGGCCGTACGGTTACTGCGTTACTTCTATTTCAGGCCTTTTCTCGCGAGGTATATTTTCCCTGACTTGCATCGTGAGGTTTGCAGGTCGGTGTTTTGTACAACGCCCTGGGGAGTTTATAGGAACAGGCAGTATTCGTTCGTTCGTTCGTTTCTAAATCTGCTTGTCCCGGTGAAGGTCGTGGCCCGACTGTGCACAGTAAATGCCAGAGCCCGTTAATTGCACATGTGTCGTAACAAGTAAGACTATCGTTTCTTTAAGAAAACCTTGCCCGTGGCCCTACATGTCACGCAGATTTTGTCACCAATGTTTTCCAACGCCGGTAAAATTACTTCTGGATCGCGCGTACATGCCCCCTTCTCCTATTCACTGTTCAGATTTCAGCCCTTCCTCTTTCCCCTCCCTCTAAGACTGACTCTCTTTTCACTTTAAAAAAAACATATATATGCACAGAGATCAAGGGGCATAACCACTGCAGATTAGACGGGGAACTGGATTTGGAGTGGTGGAGAGAAACAATACCCGTTCAGGACGCCTCTTTTTTCTTTTCTTCATGTCAGCTGTGTTTCGGTTTTATCGCTGTCTCCTCCTTGTCATCCCTTCCCCCCTTATTTAAAAATAAGTGTCACCCTTTCTCCCTTCGGTGGGACTCCGTATGGTTTGTGGCAGCGCAGCCCGTTCCCCATCTTTCTACCCCCCGCTTTTCATAAGCGGTTTGGCTCCTGTGGACGGTGTGCGGTACGTGCGTCACAACGTGATGTATTGGGCCCGCACATTCCCTCAATAAATATATATGCACAGTAGACATATATACACATGTCTTCTTTTCCCCATGAACGCTCGTGCCACCAATTTTGCACAGCAACAAAACTCTGCACCTGCTTTTCAACATTCCCCCCCCCTGTTTGCTGAAAAACTAAATCAGCTGGCACATTTAGCCCACGTGGCAACTTGAATTTACGATGGGCTCCGTCGGACGGCCAGAGGGGGCTTTGGAGTTAAAACAAACGTCATATGTTTCATACCTCCACGACGATTTGAAAAAGAAAAAAATCAATTATGAATCATTTCCAGTGGTTGAGTCACTCCACGTCTCTCACCTTCCATTAGCTGGCCTGTCTTCTCAGCAGCTCCCCCCTGCAGGATGCTGCCGATGTAGGCTCCTGTTAGGCCGCAAGTTCCAGGGATCTCCTTTCCACCCACGATACGCACGCCAAACCCGTTGCCTGCAACCACAAATGCAGCTCACAAATTCAGCTCCCTCGAAGCGGTTTCGGCTTGTGCCGTGGTGGATGGGTCAGTGGTGGATCGGTGGTGGGTCGGTGGTGGTGTGTTCGGCGCGATGTCTGGCGTTTCGGTTCTGTCCGAATTAGCTTCCCAACGCGTCGAGCCAAGCATCGGTAATCGTAACGAACACCGCTCAGTGAAAGCCGGGAAACAATCAAGACAGCCACGCGGCCCTCAAGGTCTGTCTGCGTCGTGCCAGCTGCTAAGAGCCGCCGTCGGCAAGGGCACAGGCTGGCGAGTTAAATCGGCAAAGAGTCGGGGTAGGAGCGTGCGTAAGCCTCGGGGAGACGTGTTTCAAGTTTCCATTTTTATTTTGCTTAACCGGGTGAGAACTCAAGAGACAAGGTCTCATTTGTTAAGTGACCTTTTTTTTTGCTTTAACCAAAGTGGAGAGAGGAAATAATAGTAACAACATCTGATTTACAACACGTGCAGATAATAAGAATAATGAGAATGGACAGCCCTGTTTTCAATTCAGTGTTGGCCTTCCCACACCGTGTTGGGCAAGAGAGTGTTTAACCATACTTCACCACACTGGTCAGTGTTGGTTGCAGAAAATGGTTTCAGGAAGAGTTCAAATATCGCTGTGGCTGTGAATTCACCGCGGTGTGCTAACCACTACACGACTGGTCATGATCAAATATATATTCATATTTTTCTGCTTATTTCAGGAAAAACTAAGTATGAAATAAAACAAAATAAATCACGACGTTTCGGACGCAACACAAGCACCCGTCTACAGGTGAAAATCGCGGCTATTGCTGGTGTTGCGTCCGAAACGTCGTGATTTATTTTGTTTTATTTCTATCTACGTGACTTTACCGAAAGAACCAAAGAGTATGGATTCCTGCAGTCACGAAAGCTTCAAATCAAGATTACTTTGTTCAGTGTCCTGAACTAGTAACGAATTGGCGTGTTTTGTTAACGTGACAAACCTTACTAATTGGCTGTGTCGGTTGGTGTCTGGTTTAAATATACATCTATTATGGATAATAAACCCTCGTGTTCAAATACAAAATCACATTGCAGCAAGAGAACTGGCCACGAACTCTTGTGGGCATTAAAGGCACCAGAGCAATTATCTCGGTTCCAGGATGCTGCTATATATACGCAAATTTAATGGTAAAGCATCGTAAAAATACGGAAACCTCCAATAGAGAAGGGGGAATAAATATGTGATGCCTCTCGCCATATTTTAGAATTTCAATCACCGTTATTTGAGAAATGTAATTTTCACGAGTCTTGCTATGAAATCGCGGACGCATTAAATCATCGCGCATGACTACATACGCACCTGCTCCCGCCAGCTTCTTGGATTCAAAAAAGCATTTTAATAATAAACAAACATCGCCAGTGACGACAACTAATGGCGAGCTGAGTTGAGGTGACACGCTTCGAACTGTTCTCAAGCATTTTGCGATAAAAAAGAAGGAAAATCCAAAATCAACCTCGGAGATGAACCCTTCCGACTGATCCTTTGACCGCAGCTGGTATTGGCCGTCGCGAAGGAATCACGCAGCGGGAGAACGCAGGGGCCGACTGAATCGGTGTGCGAAGGCAACTTTCCACGTCGTCGCCGGTCACGCCGGTCACGAATGTTTGGCGTAAAAAATTTTTGTCGAGGCCAGATGCGTTGGCGGACAAGCCAATGCCCCGTGCCCCCCCCCCCCCCCCCACGTGAGGGAGCTGCAGCGACGACCGCGTGCTTCAGATCACCCCCCCCCCCCCCCCCCCCACGTGAACACGGCCCTGTGAGTCGCGACCCGATCTGGCCGCCCCTTGAGGGAGAGGAACGGCTGCTGACCTGAGACGCTGCGCTCCTGGGAATCCTGCGAGAGCCGAATCCGGGAGTGGGGGAAGTCGTACTTCTGCAACCGCTCGGAGAACTGCAAGCACAGCGGGGGGGGGGGGGGGGTGCAGGAGCATGAGATGCAAAAAGACGGGAAAGCGCGCGATTCACGCACAGCCCACGCGGTTCACAAACAGGTGCAGCCCGCACCTCCCATTAGTGCGGTGGACTACGTACGGCGTGAAAGAAGTTCAACATACGTGCTTGCGTGCGGTGTAGAGGAGCGGGCAGCGTCACCGTAGGCACCAACAGAAAGAGACCCGTACACGCGGGCGGTGCAGTGCCGACGTGGCCGAGCGGTAGTGCATTTGCCGCGACGCGGTTCTAACCCAGCATCCGCCCTGGTTGGCGACTCCGATTAGCACGGTGGGCTACGTACGGTGCTACAGAAGTTCAACGTACATACATGCAAGACTGCGGCGCATTAAATAAATTGACGAACTACGCGCCATCTGCTTCGCAGTGGTCGTTAGAGATACCCTGACGTCGTTAGAAGAACGAGTAGGTAACGTATGCTGGCATCCGAGACCAAATTACTTAGTTGGGCGAACCGAGATCACTCCCTACTGATAGAGGCTCTAATTCATCTGCCAAGCAACTAACCATGCTGTACTCTTTAACGTTGTTGGGGGTTAAGAAACTTCACCATCGTTCCAGCTGCCACGGGAGGAGTTAGAACCGGCGACTTCTGGGTTGCAAGTCCAGCGTGCAAACCGATAGACCATGGCAGCGTCCAAGTCGATGTCAGCACCAGGCTCATTTCATTTACAGCGTAATTATGAAGCGGCCGAAACTAAACGTTCCTTTAACAAGATGTGCACTTTTGCATGATCTGTACCAGACGGTAAACGCAAAACACGTTGATTAATTTGGCTCTCTATAAATGTGCACGTGATAAGCCACTTCATTGAGCTATCATTTGTGGCCAGGTCGCTTCTGCAAACAGAGCTACACAGCTCAGTGGGGCCTTACCTGGTGAAACAAACAGTTTAGTTTATTTATTTTTATTGTTTTGCTTCTCTTTCCTATACGTTATAATCCTGTCGTGTTTTTGTGTTGTCTGTTGTTGTAACGTTCTGACCCTGTGCCCCTCTTAGACGCCGGTGAAAAGAGCTTCATAGCTCGTCGGATTTCTCCAGGAATTCTAAAGATCCTGATTCAGATTTTTGCTGAAACTGTTCTGCAGCAACAAAGCCTGGTCAAGTTAAACTTTGTTGTTGTTCTACTGTACATCAATAATAATTTACATCTGTAAGGTGCATTTCATGCGTGGATCCCAATGCGCCACCGTGTATGGAAAGCAGGAAATAAACAGACCCAACAAACCCTGTGGGGTAAACAGCTCGAGGAGGGGGGGAGGTGTAATGGCCCAGTTTAAAGAGGTGAGTTTTCAAGACAGATCTTAAATATCTCTAACGATTTTGATTTGTCTTATTAGCAAAACAGGGGCAAAGAGTTCCAAAGATTCAGAGCGGCACTGGCAAAAAGCCTGCCGGGGAGAGACGACGCACGAGAGAATGTCTCCGCTGTGCACGAGCCATGCGTTGGTGGAGCAGAGTAGGCAACGAGTCGTCTGCTGTTTGGAAAATTAAATGAAAGCTACTCTGTCAACACGGCACTAAGGATGGAAATGTTTTTTTTTTTCAAATTGGTGGGACACGTTGTCCTTTGTCCCGTTACCGACGCCCACGTACGAACAGCCGCACTCACGCTCGCGCGCAAAAGTACAAACTGTGCGGCAGTGATTTAAAAACAACGGCGGGGTTTTTTTCTAATCATGGCATGCCAGAATTTTACAACCAAATGTTAAAATCGTTCCGAGGGAATTTAACTTGCAAGCGACTTGGGCAAACGATGTTCAATCTCATTAGCAGCGACGCCAACATCATCAATTGAATGCGTGCATTCATCGTGCGCGGTGGGGGGGGGGGGGGTTAAACAGGAAAACGATATTTTAGCAACACGCTCACATCGGCAGGCAGACAATCAATGCCAAGGCACTGTGCCCTGCGGAATGATGAGCAGACGCGAGGCAGTGCCAGCATGCATCCTAGCTTTGCCCCTTTCCAGCGAGAGATTGTCAAAAATAATGAAGCATCTGATTTTTTTCGCTTGTCCTCTTAGCCCATCTTCTCTGAACAGACGACGAAACGATGAAGAACTGCACCAAACAGTTCAGACAGGTGACATCGTCGCGTGTGTACAACAGGAGACAATGTTGCCACGCCTATACAAATGATGTTATCGTCCTTTTGTTATTATGGCTCAGCAGTACAGCGAGCCAACTCGCAATCCGGTGCCGTGGTGGTGAGATGTTAACTCTATCGCTTGGTATACAGGTCATGTTCTCTGTCCTCGTAGTCGCGTGGATTTTCCCCTCCAAATTTAGAATCAACATCACACGTTTAGAGGATTTGGCTGCTAGAATTTTCCACGTGATAAGACACTTCATTGAGCTATAATTTGTGGCCAGGTTGCTTCTGAAAAAGATCTATATAGCTCAGTGGGCCTTATCTGGTAAAATAAAAAATACTTTCGTTTTTAATCCGTACGTTGCATGTTCATATCCTGGTTGGGGGTTGAAATAAGTATCACATGGTGGGGCATTCAACAGTGGTTGTTCTAGAGATAGGCTCATCCCGTTGCCAAGGAAAAGTGGAATTTCCACCCCTCAACGCCCATTTGAGCGGGAAATCCCATCGACTTTCACTTTGCTTGCTGGAAATTGGCACCTGGTACGAGACGCGCCTCTGGTCGGCCACCCGTGTATCTGCTACTCACGCTACCCACACCCCCTGTGTGGCTTTCCTGCGAAAATGATGATAGTGCGATCGTTATTTTGCGACGGGGATGTATTTTGCCGATTTTCTTGCCTCATTCAATCGCTGGACATGGCGAAGGAGAGAGGATCAGGTTATTAAGTTAGCTTAACAATTAGGCTTTCACAACCAATATTTATTGAAAATAAAAGTTGCGTCGGGTGGTGGCGACGCATTTATACTGACGCAATCTAATCCAAAAACTATGAATTATGAAGCTAGGCCTAAAAAATATATATTCTACATTTTAATCCCGACCCGAAAGACAAGAGCAATGTAAGAATGCCCGTGAACTCTGCTGAGCAGGGTCATGTCAGCTTGCTGAAAGGTGACATGGTGCTGATGTCGTTGCTGCAGGGACTGTACAGGTCACCGAGCTGTAAATAGCACTCTCATACACTTTGCCCGCCTAAACGGTGTTCACGACATGGCGTTATATCACACGATGACAAATAAACATCCCTGATGTTGGGTTTTAAATATTCATATTTGTTTTAGCTGCACACAGGTATCTTCCACAGCAAAACATAACAAGAATCCAAGCATGCCTTTCGTGTTAAACCGTGTACGTAATATTATTTGCAAGCATCGTATAAATTGCGTATAAATCATAATTTGTTTACAGCATCCACCCATGTTTTTCCCCCAGGTGCTTAATTGCCTCTTCCAAGGTAGAGAAAAGTGATTGTATTTTTCTTTCATCATGCAAATGGGTCATGGCTGCAGAACATTCCGCACCAAATCCGAACCTCTGGAGCAGTCGGGCCCCACGGTGCAGCATCGAAGCGAGGCGCCAGCCCGAGGACTGATTGGCTGAGGGGAGACGGCGTTCGTGGCGCAAGTTGATTAACAAATAGAAATGGGTCCACCGCAGTTGGTCGACAGGATTCGGACTTTCAGACTTTCAAATTCTCCTAAAGTGTGGGGGGGGGGGGGGGGGGTAACTCCAACTTTTTCCAAGACGTCTGGCCAGCGTAGAAGAGTAGGGCCAGAAATACAAACGAATGGGAGTATTCTTAGAGCTCCCTCCAGTGGAGTCCCTTCTGCCGGCAGTGGCTCGAGCAAGAAATGGCAGGGCTGACTGACGGCTTTACATTTTATTACCTCGCGCCTCAGCGATGTGACACCCATTTCGTCGTCGCTTGCTCCCGATGGTTTTGCTCGAAAGCAGCCTAATGCGGAGCAGGGCCCAAACTGGGGCGGACTTTACAATCGGCCCCCGTGGTTGATGGGGTTTTTGCCTTGGCTGGACAGGATGTCAGCTTGAATCACGCAGTGGACAAACACTGAATGGATGCCGTAAATTTCCAGGGCTGGAGATATCTGAAAAAATATCCCAGAATTGCATAGTTTGAAAGAATGTTGCAGAACAACACAAAAGTGCTATAAGACCACAGGCTTAACATCCACTCGCCGGAGAGCTCGTGTATTGATTCTGCTCTGCAAACACATTCATCAGTTGAGTGAATAATGGGAGTTTTAAAAAAAGAACCTGCAAGCTTCATCTCCTGGGGCACTCTCACAAGCTCGCCTTCACAGAAAAGTGCTGAAGCTATCCATAACTATTTCACATTCGGGCTCGGCGTGATATACAGTTTGACGTCAAAAGGAAACCAGGATCGTTTGAACGTTCGTGTTAAGTCAATTCTATCACAGTGGATTTTGTTTTATTTATTTATATATACAGCCGTGATCATGCAACAACAAAAAAAGATGTCAATGCAACACCAGCAAGAAAATAAAGAATGTTCGCTCCACTAGCGTAAATTATTCAAATCGACAACATTTTTTGGGGTTAATTGTGAGTTCAAGAGTCAAAGGAATCTCCAAAATATGTTGAAAATATTTCATGTAATTTCACAGCAGCCATGTATAAAACTTCACTATCGTTAGGCAAAACTAATTAAACTTAGTGGGTGTACGGCATATCAGGGCTGCACGTCTTTCAATGAATCCTCAAAATTAAATTACTTTTTGCCTTCTTCGACAAGTTTCATTAATTTTTTTACGTTTTACCTTGCGATTGTGTGTGACTGGTGTCGCGTTAGAAAAAAATTGCATTCGGAACTCTTCACGGTGAGCGAGCGATGCATCATCACTGTGTGGCAAAAGAATGGCCCTGGCGTTATGGCCCTGGCGTTATGGCCCTGGCGTTATGGCCCTGGCGTTATGGCCCTGGCGTTATAGCCCTGGCGTTATGGCCCTGGCGTTATGGCCCTGGCGTTATGGCCCTGGCGTTATGGCCCTAGCGTTATGGCCCTGGCGTTATGGCCCTGGCGTTATGGCCCTGGCGTTATGGAGGGTGTCTGTCTCTGATCATGATTGCAGATCCGCAATTGGCCTACTGAAGATAACTTTTTGAAATTAAATTTTGCCGTTTCACAAACCACCATCCCCTATTCTTGGTTAATTAAAATGTGAAAAATGTTTTGGTTAATTAAAATTTAAAAAATATTGTATTGTATATCTACGTGACTTTGCCGAAAGAACCAAGAATATGAATTACTGCAGTCACGAAATGTTTAAGTCAAAATTCCATCACCCCCTGCCTGGTGCCCAATTGTTGTTGAGTCGCCCCACTTCTCCAGAGGACAGAACACAACGCAGAGTCTCTACTCATCATCTCCGAACTTTCTTATTTTTATTGTTGTTGTCCATTTAGCCGACCTGTCCCCCCCCCCCCCCACTTCGAAAGGATTAATGAGGAGAGAGGGACAGGGGAGACCGACTACACAGGTACAGGTCTACGTTTGTGGTCGCTTCGTAATAATGATCGCGATTTGTGTTGGATATGGCATCCGATACACCAGGGTCGTCTCAAAATTCTTTACATCGCAGCCATCTCATCACCTCAACACATTTGAAGGGGGCAGCCCCCCTCCCACACCCCCCTCCCCCCCAGTGGCAGCTGTCCCTGTGTGGCACAAGGTGACTCAGCACCTGGACCTGCAAACGGGCATCGGTCTGCTGCCAGGAAGGGGTGGACGTGGTTGGGGGCGGGGGCGACGATTGCTGCTGTGTGTGCTTCCAATCGAGACATTTGAGGGTAATTTAATACTTTGAAAATGTTACGCAACCTCTTCTCCAGACTAGTTCATGCATTTTAAATGCCCTGCAAAGTGTGTTTGCTACAGATCAACCAAATTAAGTGCAGACAAATATAATTAAATTCAGTGTGTGTGGGTTTCTTTAGCGTGTGTGTGTGTAGTGGCAGCTGAATGAGGCTGAGAAGATCAAATCGCTACATTTCATGGGCGACTTCCCAGATTGCATCGCAAGAACGCCTCATTTGCTCACAAACTCTGAGCTCTCGTGAGCCACCTGGCCAGCGCCAATGAAGTGACAACTTGGACCACTCCATTAGGCCGATTTTGACCGGTTTGTCACGTGCTAAGTCCGTTTAACGCCTCCTTAAGTCACCACGCTTATCATTAAAAAGTGCAAATACGTTGAAATATATATACTGAATGAAAATGTGTTGTGCTTTCCATAGACCTTGTGGGGTTTTTTTTCCATGAGAAAAATTTAATTTGTGTTTCCTGTAACTTTCCATCCTTTGTGTGCTCGTTCATTTAAATTTTTAATTAACTTTACGTCATGAGCAGGCAGTATGCACTGATGGCCTTAAGTCTCCAACAATTAAGTTTTGTATTATTTCCAAGTGCTACATTTGAGCGGCCCCAGTGCTTGAGTGCTCAAAGACGAGCCAACACTGAAAGATCAGCAGCCAGAGGTATTGTTTTGGAGAATCTGACAAAAAATTATGTTTGGCCAATTCAGTATAGGAAAGTTTTGCAAGTGAGAGGAAATTGGAGAAATGCATACAGGGTGATACTACTCAATGTGGGCTCATGAATCCACTTGCTGTACTGCTATCTCCTGGCCACCTCCAAAACCCAGTAAAGGTTTGAGAGCTTTACAATAAACATGATCGACAAACCCATGTTTCCAAGGGCGCTGGATTACAGGCATATGCCACCACACTTTAAGTAGTAAAACGCAAAACTGCTTTAGCAACGTATTCTTATATTCCACGGTCAGTTGCCAACACAGTTGAAAATTCGTACAATTCTGGAGGCCTTTGTAAAATTTCTAATAAAACTGAACATCATATAATCACGTGGTAACAAGTACACATCTTCTTGGTTCTTTCGGTAAAGTCACGTAAACGTTACGTGACTTTACCGAAAGAACCAAGAAGATGAATCCCTACAGTCACGAAAGCTTTAAATCGAAATTTAACAAGTGCACACGTAGCCTATGTAGTGACAGAGCATTTATTTCAGCAGTTAATTAAATTCCAAGAATTACTAGTCTTGCACCACGCTTGTTCCCTCTGATTACACATTGTGCCTTTAAATACTTAATGCATTTTGGGCCAGATTTAGATCTTCAACGCAAACGACTGAATACAATGGTCGAAGCAATCTTTTTCTGCAATGGAGCCAGTCGGCACACTTTGTCCAAACAAAACCAAAACGTGACAGATCGGCACGTTTATAAGGCACCTGCGCAGGCCCCATGACTGCTATCTCGTTCCACTGTTCGCGGAAGAGCAACCGTTCGAGAGTGTGGCTTTGAGACATGCCCATTTAGAGAGTATTTTGTACCAACTCTTTCAACGCTGGCCGTGAATCTTGGAAGAGGTAGGGGGCACCCACACATCACCTCACCACGTGACCTGCCAATCAAACTGAACAATCAGCTACTATATAGCTCTTTTTCAGAAGCTCAGTGGGCCCTACCTGGTAAAAGAAAGTTTTAATTAGCATGTTTTGTTCACGTGACAAACCTTACTAATTGGCTTTGTCGGTTGGTGGCGGGTTAAACAACACATTTATATTTATGATATCTAACCCCAAAAAACTCTATTATAGATAATATTGGTCGCGAAAGCCTATGTGTTCAATTGGGCCAATGTTGGGATTTTGGTTACAACACTTGACCCAACATTCCATGGTTACTGGGATCCCAATAAAACAGTTTTCAGCAGTAATAAGAGACGGCCACTGGTAACGAATCATGAATGAATTACCCTTTGAAGGGTCTAAAAGGGCAAAAGGGTGGCTTATTATCGGTCCCTTTCAATGCGCACAGCGTCCTGCTGTTGTAAATGTGTTTAACCCACTATAGCAGTGCAAGTGGATACAAATCGTTATTCGGAGCTGTACCTGGCGTTGGTGGTGATCGCCGCTGCTGCTTTGGAAGCCACCATCCTGGGACCTATCCATCTTCTTGGCATCTCCGTGCCTTGCATAGCACACTGCAAAATTGCAGACAAAACATCTTTAAAGAAAGACAGATGCGGTGGGTAAGCAAGAATGTCTGTTTACATGACCTACGTAACAGGAAAATAAATCAAAACCATTGCAAACACATACACAGCCCTCCTGGTGAATGTAACAGTAGGGTTGCCGCAAAATATACTTTACAATGATGTGATGATTACCGCCTGATTGTGCATGTGACATGGCAGCACTGCACCTCGTGTGGTAGAATGCACACAGCCCTTTTTATTTCTGACCACCTACTCAAAAGAGTAAAAATTTTACACAGCATCAGGAACAACGAGGCAACTATTTGCCATTCTAATCCTTGTCAGGAGCCATGGGTAGAGTCTGACCACACACAGTGCCTCAGGTAGGCACTGTGGGTGTTGACTTCTTGTTAAAAAATATTCACCATTCTATTGCAGCAATCAGTGCCATTGTGTGCATGCAAGGTTTCTTTATGTCTTGGTTGTAATTTGTTATTTGTGTTCAGATTGTGATGAGCGGCAGCGTAGTGGTCTAGCCACGCTGCGCTACGAAACTGGCAGAGAGACCCGAGTTCGATTCCCGCTCATGGCCAACACCAGTGATGATTATCTGAACCGGTCATGGGCCTCCCCTAGGTCGACTCAACCTCCAATGAGTACCTGGTATGGTGTGTAGTAAACATTACCACTGGGAAGACAAAGGCGGCCGGGCGTGGTGTTGGCCACCCACCCTCTCGTGTGCCGGATTAAGATTCATTTAGTGCTGTTATGTTGCTATTTATGATCATCTGCCATTCTGCGCTAACTTCTGGATGGAGACCTCAATAATAACAACACTACCACAGCTGGGCCTGTGTAGATGACATATTACTTACTCCAATAGGCAGCCTGTAATCATTATTGTTACCTCCCCTTTGTTCAAACATTCATGCGAATATCTCTTTGGGCTGGAATTCCATCAGAGCTGCACCGAAGTGATGTGTTCCTGGTGATGTATCTCACTCAAGTCGGCTCATTTCTGTTAACTGTCTCCGGCTGTAAGTTATTCAGCGGTCTCCTGTTATCATCTAAAATATTCCAAATGTACCCGCCCTGCGTGTTCTAATATAACAGCAAGGAAATAAAAAAAATATATACCAATGCTTATCGTTGAACACAACAGTTTCAATTACAGACCAGCTTTGGACATAGACCAATTAAAAGATACGAGCAGCCCTTTTATTTTATAATCTACCATGCGCTCGCCTAAAAACGTTAATTCCCTAGTGAATAGGAGCAAGACGTGAGTAGGGGGGGGGGGGGGGAGACCGCCCGGGTGTATACCGTCGTTCTCTGCGAGCACGTGGTTCAGGTTGTCCACCATGCGCGTGAAGCCGCAGTCCAGGCTGCGGCGGTGCAGGTCCTTGGCGTGCCGGTCGGCCTCGGGCAGGGAGTGGCACGAGCCGAACTGCTCCCTGGAGTCGGCGGAGATGGGCGGGAGGGGCCCCGCGGCCGCGCGGGCCATGCCCATGGGCTGCACCACGGGGCTCAGAGGGCTCTCGTCCTCGTCGGAGTTCTGCTCGGTCAGCGACAGCCGCCGGGCGCTCTGCGAGATGGGCAAGCTGGACGGCTTCGACCTCATCTTGACGCCCGCGTTGAAGGGACCGCACAGGTCGTCCGCCGGCTGTCCCCCACCTCCCTGGCAATTCTGCTTCGAGGCCGAGAAGTCCAAGTCGTACACGGTCGACGGCCTGGACCTCCGGACGTCCAAGCCGGAGAACGAAGAGGAGCGCGTTCGGCTCATCACGGACCTGTAGGCCGAGAAGGAGCACGAGCGGCTGCTCGTTATGCCGCAATCTGGCGGCGGCCTCGCTTTGGGTTCTTCAGCGCCGTACACGGAGGAGGGCCGCAACCTGCCGCTCTCGGGTGTAGGCATGAGAGGTGGTTGCGCCCTGCCGTTGGACGGTCCTGTTATCGAGAAGGACCTGCTCCTGTTGAAGTCGGTGGCAGAGGATGGCCTCGCCCGGGCCTCGTCAACTCCGTACACCGAGGTCGGTCGGGACCGGTTCGCGCTGTACGGGGTGGGCGAAACTGACCTGTTCATCTCCATGTTGTACACGGAGCACGGTCGCGATCGCTTGTACTCAAGGTCGTACAGACCTGACATCCTGGAGGTAATGCCGTCCAGTCCAGACACAGAAGACGATCTTGGCCTGGAGCCAATACCTCTGGGAATGCAAATGTCACTTGTTTTCAAGTGTGGCAACCCGTGAAAGCTCTGCTGAGACTTAATACTTTGCCTAAAATTTGCAGATGTATCCCCACCCTGCAGTCGTTTTTCCCTCAACACAACAGATCTTTCCATTTTGGGGGAAGAATTCTTATAAGCCAAAAAATCCTTCTCAACATCCTCACTTTTGTCCAGTGATGGGAACTTAAAAATCCTACCGTCTAAATCGGGTTTTCTGCTTTTGCTTTGGCTTGATATAAACGGTGGTGTTAGCTGCTTCGCTGCCTCTTTCTCCAAAGTTATTCGACTCATACTGTATTTGTCAGATCTTGATGCATTCCTGTACTTATTATCATTAAGGTCAAACATCAAAGGACTCACCACGTGATCTAACGACTCAGACCCCCTACGAAAACCTTGCTGTATTTGCCTTTTCATTTGTTTTTCAAGCGGATCTACGGACGCCTCATCGGACAAACTCCGGAACGGGTGGGCTCTAGTTGCCACGGGGATTGCGATAAAGTCGTTGGCCTTGTCGGGCTTTTGGTTGTACCGGGAATGAGCTCTTCCTTGGCTTGAGGATCCCACAAAATCATTTAATTCGGTGGCGCTGGGTAGACTCCTGCTGTAAGCGCCGTCCGAATTCTGAGCGTCCATTCCATCCACGAGAAAGCCTCCTCCAGTCAACTCACTGATGTCATCTATGAGGACATAATTGCGTGGCACCTGCTGATCCAGGTCCGTGTAAAACGACTCTGCTGAAATGCTCGACAAAGGACTGCCCACGATGCTGCCTCGGTCGTCGAGAGGCAGCCTCATGTCGACGCTGTCGCCCAGGCTATCTGTCGATGTCGGCGACATCATGAGGGGATCGTGGCTTTCAATGACCTCGTAATTTGTCAATAGTTTGGGCTCCATGCTGGATATTTGCCCATTGATAGGTTTTTGAGAATGGAACTGCAGTTGTTTATGACTGTACTGTTGATATGATGAGATTTGGGTGGACTGACATCCCGGTGAGACAGAAAATCTGTCACTAAGTTCTTGACTTTCAGACCTGGACGCACCAATATTGTTAGGGACTAATGCGTGGTCCGATGCAGACAAGTAGCTGTGCTTGTGGTAGTCTGATGGAGAACTGGTCATGGGAATGAACATTGCAGGTGTTTTATTTGCAGATCCATCATCTTTGTTTAACAGACTAGATGATTGAGAATCAACACTGCCCTGGCTGTCTGTCATGTACCCGTCATGCTTGCTGTCCCTTGTCGGGAATTCCACTGGGCTGAACATGTGCTGAAAATGTGTGCCACCACGGTGGCTGCTCTCCGAATATTCACCGTACGGTTTGCTACACTGCGTGGGCTCGGCCACGTAGCAAGAAGATTGTGCTTTGTAATGTGCATCCGCGACACAAGAGTCCTGCTGCTGCTGCTGCTGCAGCTGCTGCTGCTGCTGCTGCTGCTGCAGCAGGAGCAGCCGATCGTCCGTCTTGCTGCCTCGAGCGGCCCCGTCGTGCCCGCCGAGGGAAACCTCTTCCGGCGCCGTCCTCGGTCTCTCCGAGTGCTGCCCGCTTCCCGCGGACTTTGCCTGACCAACGCGTGCCTCGCCGTCCGATAGGCAGTCGCGGCTCTGGCCACCGGCCTCCCGCAGGAAGTCCATCTTCCTCTTCTCCCTGTCCCTGACGAGCGCCTCTTTGCGTCTCAGCATGCCCATCTCAAGGTGGCGCAGTTTGGCGTCGATCTCGCGCTCCTCCTCGTCGAGGCGCGCCTGCTGCTCACGCAGCTTGGCCGACTCGTGCTCCACTAGCTCCAGCTCCCGCTCGATGTCCTGACTCAGCTGTCCGCGTGCGGTGCCCTGCCGGACCGCCGCGTCCTTTGGCCTCGGCTGGAACACCATGCCACTGCCGCCGCCGCCACCCCCGCCGCCGCAGTTGCTGCCACCGCTCGGAGCACGCGAGATCCTCGTGCCCTCGTGCGCTCTGCGCAAGTCCCGCGCGGCTCCCGCCATTGGCACCGCCGCCTTGCCACTGAGTTTGAGCGGTGCGGGGCCACGGGCAGACGACGAGGCTGTGCAGGGGGCATGTGCGGGAGGCGTGGGCAGTGTCCGCTTCATCGATCTGCCGTCGGCTACATCATCTCGAAGTTGGATCTGAAACAGCAAAACGGAGAGACTCAGATTTAGCAACCTTCCCCCCCCCCCTAGTTTGGTGTGTACTACGGAAGGCGTCGTTAGTGATCGGGCCGGGCTACAAGAAAAGATGAGAATGCCACATTTCTAAATTGGGGCAACGGTGTTTTTTTCCTCCAATGAAAGAGGAAGAGTAACCACGGAGGAGTGGCATTGTCAGATTGTCATTCTCTCCGGGTGTCACACGGAAAAAAGGTTCGGGTTAAAGATTTCATCAAGCACCTGAGACACTAACAAGTTAAAGATTATGCCCAGTATACACTCCCAACGACAAGCCACGGCGAGTAGATCAAATCAGCGAGGAAATTACCTCGTGCCTAAAGTGGGAGTGAAGCGCATTATTATCATTACAGTCGATCATTGATACTAATTATGCGGCACCGCGCGATTATCCAACATTATCTGGCAATCCCGGGCCAATCCGGAAAAATCGGCAAAACCACTCCAAAGGCTATTATAACCAGTCCGGCTATCGGCAAGCACCATGTGCGTGACAGAAAAGCTAGCCACACTTGATTTCAGTGTTTAATATTATATACAATACATGATATGCTACATACAACTTAATGAAAATACCGCACGTTTGTACATCATCGCGTGCAGAGTCTTCGAGTTTGGAGTGGTAAGTACGGTACAGTAAATAGAGTAACTTTTTTAAAGTAGGATATTTATGTGTGTCTATTTGTATGTTTATTTATGCCAATTTCGTATAGTAAAATTTTAAACACTAAAAAAACATATAACAACACCTACAAACATAAGTCATACAGTAGTGCAAAAAGAAGCCATTTTAAATAATGATGTGATCATCCGGCGTTTTTGAAAATCCAGCGCCACCCGAAGCTGCCGGATAATCGATTAATTACTTTATTATTATTGCATGCACGGCTCTTATCTAACGTCTCCTTTCAAACAGAGAAGCACGGTCTCAATGGGCCTCTTAATAATATAGCGCCACTGATCGATCCACTGCTGAATAAGGTCTACCCCTCACCGCTGGCGGTCATGGGGGGGGGGCTGTTTTGGCTACACGTCAACGAGCCGTGCCAGCTTGGTTTTTCCACCGGCTATTTACGGGGCCGAGCCAGAGCCAACCCCTAAAGCTCTGACCTCACGAGACATCTGGTTTGTGGGGGGGGAGGGGCAAGCAGGGCCAAGGGAGAAGTCAGCGGTGTTCATTACACAACGAATCTCGACTTGGTAATTGCGTGTGCCCGTCGGCAGCGCAGCTCGGTCACTGCGGTGGGAACAAATCACCTCCTGAGCTAGTGCGGGGAAGAAGCACGAGATGGCAACTGCAGCACCACGCCAAAGCGTAATCAAGGATAAACCAAATCTGCAGCGGCTGTTACGATTGCGGCGGGCATGGGGCGGGTTGTAAGGATGCAGCACCTGTCAGGAGCTGCCATGCGAGAAGAAAGTTTTACCCCCTGCAGGCATTGTTCATCATTCGGCAATAACACGGGGCACTGGGGGCAATACGAGGATTGATCGTGACTGTGATGCATTGATTCAGCACGCAACACAGTGAGAACTTTTCCATTAATCAATCGGGTCATGGTGAATTCCTGATTCTTTGTTACCCCAGGCTCGCAATGGACAGGTCCGCCCGCTGTTCAGAAATTACACACACGAGCACAACAGCTTCAGGCTCGTTTTACCGTACAACATTTGAAATGATAAATCTCCACGCATATTCAAATCATGAGCCGGATAAGAGCACACCGAGGCAAAATACAATTTTGGAAGGGAGGTCTGGGATGCAAAGCGTGGAAACAAAATAACAAAACATCTCAATTATGAAAAAATATATTTAAAAAGACGTAAGTCGAACAAAACTACAATAGTCCTCAGTGAAGCAAATATAAACGTTGGTGGAGCTGGGAGGTCCAATGATTTGAGTATAAATTACTCCCAATTATCAGTTGAATGACTCGACTAATCGGATAACACGAAAGAGGTTCCCCGTGTGTGGGAGTTGATGGGTGTTGACGTCATCAGAATCTTCATTATCTGTCAAACTGGGCGTGGCTTGTAGGGGTTTCCCTCCTTTGGGAAGTACAGTAAATATGTGGTGGGCGGTTGCCATTTTCTAAAGGTGCCCAAGTAATCGACCACAAAAAAATATTCGATGTCAACGTTTTGTTGATTAATTCCCTCATCGTGCCGGCTTTACAGAGCAATTCTGACCACCTGGCGCAGACGATTCCTGCTTCCCTGATGTCCCAGTCCAATCCTGAATCACGCCTGGCAGAATTCTAGTTAACAAGTGACTGAATTCATTTTAATAAAAATGTGGGAAAAAATCATGCTGCAATTTTCTTTAAAAAAGTAATTAGCCATCATATGAAAAGGCAGTAAAATAATGACTTCCAGCGCAATATGAATTCCACCCAATACATCTCGAACCAATGCTGTCACGGTATGCCCTCAAAATATTTAGTGTCACACAACTCGTATTAAATTGTAACTGTCTAATCGTTATGCAGCGGTAACGAATGAGCGATTATTACTGTACTATCCCGCCTGGCAGCTGCCTGGATTTAGATGACAACGATCAAGCACATTCAGCTCGAATGAAAAACACTTTGCCATCACATCCCAATTGAAGAATCAAGTGGCGTCTTTCAATTCCAGTGAACCACCAAGACGCACATCTGCACCCTCAAGGACGCGCGAGTGTAAGACGTGAAGCCGGTGCCGAAACGGGCAACACTGACATCAAGAGCGTTCGCGTAACCAAGCAGCGACTACATTATAAACAAGTGGCCTGGCCGAGATGATGCAGTCAGCACACGTCCATGAGAGGAGGGTAGGAGGAGGGCAAGGGGCCATCCATTGAGTACGTTCGCAAAAATCTATCAAAACTTGACCCCTCCCTGTAGGCACACGTACTTTTTACACCCCCCACCCTACCTGAGTACGCACGCTTGGACGCACCCCCCCCCCACCCGAATCCTATAGAACGGCCGATATTTAATCCAGGCAGAAACGATCAAGGATTAATCATATTAACGTGTTTAAGCAAACAGACACTCCACCGCCGGACTATTTAACTCATTTGAAGGCCAATGTAGACAAATTATTATCGAGGCTTCCACCCCCCCTCCCCCTCCATGTGTACGTACTAAATGGATGGCCCTAAGGGGCCGTCCATAAATTACGTCACGCACCTGGGGGGGGGAGGGGGGTTGAGAAATGTGACGTCACATCAATATGCGCAACTTTAAATAAATATAGACAACACGTTCTACTTAATTAAATCGACTTTTTAATAAATGTTTTCTCCTACAACATCAGAGTGCAGCACCATATTAAATACGCACTACAATGACAATAATTTAAAGCGATTTGATACATGTTTTCGTTTGGGGGGGGAGGCAGAGCTTTGTGACGTCATATTTGAAGGGGGGTCTGACTTTTTGTGACGCCGTGTGACGAAGGGGGGGGGGGTCAAAAATCGTTCAAAATCGCGTGACGTCATTTATGGACGGCCCCGAATGATGTACCTAGTTGCCAGAACATTGCTCCCTGCACAGAATCCCCCTTCTTCACTCCGCTGTCCTGATATGGAACTGCCTCCCTGATGAACACATTGCCAAAGACATCACCGACTCTGGTGTTCAGGCCTTCGAATGGCGAGCACTCACGTGGTGCATCTCCTGACTTCACCGGCACGCCTTGCAGGGATTGAGTCTTTGAGCTGCAGTGAATCCAATGATCTTGGCCGATTAGATATAATAATGTCTGATATGGCTATTGTTGACAATTGCACGCAATAAAAAAAAAGATCTATTGAATGGTTAATATCGATTGTTAAGGTTGACCAGGAGAGCTGGACTATCTGATGATATACTGTATTCTCATCGATTACTCTACCAATTGTCGCTTCAATTACACAACTTCTCAATAACGTGAAAATACTTTGAAGGGATAAAAAATAATCTCCCCCTCTGTTCACAGGTTTGTCGCTGGACGGGAGGTGACTGGTCAGGGCTTGGCGCCAATCTTGCGCCATCAGCAGCGTCACGCTGGGCATGGCTAACCCTACCGTCACACCCTTATCAATGCCCTACCTGATTATCGACGAATTCAGGCTTTATTGGTCAGCCCATACCCTTATAAATGTCAACGTTCATCCTACAAAGTCCCATCACAAGGAAGAACTAAAAACAAATATAAATTTAAAAAGTGTGCGCGTATTGAAACGGCTGTTCCCTGTATGGACCTGAAAACTCAATTTTCCTGTACAAGAATCCGGGTAAATCGTATGGGTTGTGACGGGTATGTTAACAGCGGGCAGGATGTTGCGGTGGTCCTTATTTTTTCAAGATGCCTGAGTAATCGACCACAACAAAAACGTAGCCGATTTAATATCACAGACGATCGATCATTCTGCTTAGCAAACCTAAATGACCCAGCCTCCAACTCGTGGTGGATGATGCCGTTGCAATGTTGTAGGAATGGACATTTGCGTGCGCATTATACACGCCAATGATGCAAATGAAACGGCACAGCGCAAATAAGACAGACGAACAGAATGTGAACACACAAACGAGGCGGTAAAAGCATGACAGAAATAAAAAAAATATTCCTGAATCACATCGCCGGGGAATGAAGGCTATTGCCATAACTCTCACCCAAGGCGGTGGGAGAGGAGAGTTTGTTAACTCTAAAGGGAGGAAGTGTATTGATATTGATAATTCCAAGGGAAGATGTTTGCCAGAGGTTTGCTGTAGAGGATAAACAATCAGATAGGCGCGTGCTTGAAGGAAAATCAATGCCGGGTTGGAGCAGGGACGGTTTCTCAAAATCATATTTTATCATTAATAATAATAACAAAAAATACGTTCATCCCTCTGTCATCATCAACTAAGATCAATCCACTGCTGGATGACGAGCTCCCAAGTCGCCACCGTTTATCACCGTTCTGCTGTGTAACAATCCACACGGCACCTGTG